AAGCCTGCTTCTCCCTCTCCCACTCCCCCTGCTTGTGTTCCCTCTCTCACTGTGACTCTGTCAAATGGATAAATAAAATCTTTAAAAAAAAAAAAGTCAAGCCACAGACTGGAGAAACAGTAATCAGAACTACAATTCCATAATAAAAAAAAGGCGTGAACAGGTTAAGATGGAGAAATGGCCAACAAGCACGTGACAAGGTGCTCGCCATCCTGAGTCACTAAGAAAATGCCAATTCCAGCCTGGAGATGCCACCTGATGCCCAGCAGCAGGTCAAAGTAAAAGGAGGCTGGTTCCAACCACTGGGTGGCCAGGAGCAGCCAGGGCTCCGAACACATGGCTGCTGGACATGCAAGGGGGCACCAGCGGGGTCCACACCTGCTCCAGGCCCAGCCTCTGCCCTCCGTACCCATGCAAGACAGCACACGGGTTCAGAGCAGCTCCACTCAGAATGATGTGAGAACAAAGGCAAAAGAGAAATTATTAAATTTCCTTACTCCCTACAGCCCATTGACAAGTCCTTGAAACAGGCAGAGTGACCTTCCTCTAGGGACTCAACTGCCTCAATATTAATACTTTGCTAAGGGCAAAAGGCAATCCTAGCCTGAGCCACCCCCCCCCAGGACCCTGTAAGTCTACTTTAATGTATAAAAATTCCTTTGGAAACTTCCTTCCTTCCCCAAGATACCTGTTGGCAATCATGCCCCAAGCACACGGCCCACTGATATACATCTGAAGGGTCGCATGACTCAGGTGTTACTAGATGGTTATAAATGACGTTTTCCCAACAATAGCTAGTCCCCTCAAGGTCCTGGAAACCTCGCTTCCAAAATTCCTTAGAGACTTACCCTATCCTAACCCCCTCCCAACTTGAAAGTACGTAATGGGCCACTCCTCCTGACCCCATTGCCGTTCTTTCTGCCCCCCCCCCCGGGTCCTGTGTCCCCTGTGCTTTAATAAAACCACCTTTTTGCACCAAAGATGTCTCAAGTATCCTTTCCTGGCCATTGGCTTCAAACCCTGATAACATCTTTCCTACATTAAGAACGGCACCAAACTCCTGGAAAAGCAGAGCTGACACGCGGCTGAGGCCGAGGAGGCTCACCTCTGGGGCTGGACTGGGCGGGGGCGGGCGGATGCAGGAGCTGGGAGCAGTGGCAGGGGCGGTGGGCAGCGAGAACTTGTACGTCCTCACAGAGGATGCGGGTCACACAAGTGTGCACAGCTCATCCACTCGGACACTTAGGATCTGAATCTCACGTGTAAGTAATAGCTCAGTTTTTTAATTGTCAAAAATTAAAGTGAAAACATCCAATAACCAAATCAGAGGAACAGAAGAGATGTGAACAAAGCAGCAACAGCGGGAAGCCGGCACCAGGGAGGAGGAGACAGCAGAACAGCATCTCCCGAGCTGGACGGTGAGCCGACGGTGAGCCTCTCCGCTCCGCTCCAGCGAGGGTGTGTGGCAGCCAGGCCAGGCCCTCCCAGCGAAATGCAGACGCCCGGGGACAGAGGGCAAGTCCCACCTAAGGAGCACCCAGCCAAACGGACATCAAACCATGTAGCCCGCGACATATTCTCTCCCACGGGACAACCAAAGCTTCCTTCTGGCACCCCTGGTCCAGCCATCACTGCAAGCGTGCCCACAAATCCCAACACAACCCAGCGGAAGGGGGTGCGGCAAAGCTGGCCACCAGGCCTAGCCATGTGGGGGAGGAGGGCCGGGCGCCGGGGTGCTCCCCACCCCCACAGGCTTCTGCATCGAGCATCACAGACTCCCTTCCAACCAACCACCATCTGGAGGAAACGTAGAATGCTTTCCATGCTGCATTTCGGCATCACTCAGCAGAAGAGAGAGACTTCATGGACTTTCAGAGAGAAGTGTGTGTCATAAACGTCCTAACTAACAAGCCCCAAGCCTCAGAGGGAGAGGAGGGGGCCCTGCAGATGCCAAAGGGGATGCGTCCAAGACTCAGCGGGAACGTGGTCAGACTTCCAGGACGGTGCCTCTCGGGTTGGGCTGGGCCTGGACGTGGGAGGCGGGAGGCAGCAGACCTCATTTATACTCTAAGCCACCTGGCTATATTTAACTACATGACACATTGCTTGATAATTTAAAAGGTCAGCTGGCGTGTCCTCAGAGCGCTGCCTAGTGCCCCTCACAGAGCTGGCCCCGGTCCTGGTCACTGTGTGCTGATGGCTGGTCAGCCCCATCAGTTCAGCAACGCCACAGCGGGAGTACCACTCTGTGGGATGAAGTCCAAACTGATGTGCTGGGACGCCTCGAGGTCATGAGCCAGGGCAGGAGGGAATAGCCCCAGTCCTGCCAGGGTCAGGCTGTTCCTGCATGGGGTGGGGTCTGGCTGGGCAGGTCACTCCACCAGACACAGAGGAGAGGTCCCACCCACCAGGTGCCCCAAAGATAGTGGGAGCCAATCAGATAGAGGATAAAAGCCTTCTGGGGTAATGTTGTCTCATCTCCTATAGGAAAAGGGCCTAGCCGGTCAAGGGCAGCACCCGCCGAGCAGGGGCACGCAGCCCAGTGGTCACAGCCCTGGGTCCGACGAGCCTCTCCCACACAACCCCGTGGTCCAGCAGCTCTGCCCAAACAGAGGCGACAGGTGAAGTCCTTTGATCCAGGGGGCTCCCCGGCTGCCTCTGGGGCTTCTGCAGCCCTCTCCTCAGCCCAACCAACCCCGTCAGGAGCAGAGCTGCCCGGCCCCCCAAGCCCAGGTAGGCGAAGGCGGGCTCCACACACAGAGCACAGAGAGGGGCGTGAGCAGCTAGAAGGACAGTGCCCAGACTCAGCAAAGCCGGAGTCCTGGGGTGACGAGCTGGCACGCGCCCTCTCTCCAGCCTGTCTGATCGTAAATCAAAAGAAAGCCTGAGGATCTCTGTTGAGAACTGTCCCAAGTCAGGGAATCGGCCCAGGATGGGGGCTCCAGGGACGGCTCACGCAAGATGAGGGTCTCTGTAATCCCTAGCCCCGCCCCCCCCCCCGCCGTGCGAGGGCCCCTCCCAGGCCTGGGGACCGTGCTGCAGGCTCCCCGGGCTGCTGCGTTCTTCACCCAAAGCGCGGAGGTGGTGCGGGGTCTGGGACGTCCCTGGGGTGGTGACCGCATGGAGAGAGCACGGGCATCTGCCTCACTCGGTCACCAGATAGTCACTGAGGCTCTGGGTATGCAGGAAGGACGGGGGGCGGTGTCCAAACACACAATCACACCGTCTGAAAACTAGGGTGAAGGGACAGGTGGGCGGCGCTGGCCAACACCCCCAGGGGCCAGGGGAAAACTCCTGTGGTCTGGGGAGAAGGTAGCCACTGCGGTTTCGGTCAGCACAAGGCCAGAGGCCACCAGGACCGCCGGGATCACAGCAGGCCCTGGGCCCTGCCCCAAGGGGAGCAGAGACTGACAGCTCGGGGGGCCATCCTGACCCTTCTGGGGCTGAGCTCCCCCCACCACGCACACTCTTCCCATTGTGACCTGCTCCCTCTCCTGTTGGCAGAGGTTTTAAAAATAAACTCGCTTTTCTAAACACAAGTGCCCTCCTCGACCTCACCT